TTTATATATATATATATATATACATATATATATATATATATATATATATATATATATATATATATATATATATATATATGGGCCAGTATTTGCCTCCTGGAATTGATTTTCTTAGGGTCATTTTTTAACCTTTGAGGATTTTTTAAATATATATATTTCTAACCCTCCACTTATGTCAAATAGTTTAGTTTCAAGTAAATTAATATTAATATTTGTGGTAATTGAAATAAAGCTGAAAAAATATACTTATTGGATGAAAAACTTACTGAAAATTACTTGGAAAAACTGATACAGAAAAGTTTTAACATTAAAAAAAAACTAATAAAATGACAAACTCACTGAAATTCACTGAAGAAACTAAAACTTAATTAAACTAAAATTAACACGAAACTGAAAATATACAAAACTATTAATAGTATATTATTATATAACTATTATATGTGACCCTGGACCACAAAACCAGTCATAAGGGTCAGTTTTTTTAATTGAGAGTTATACACCATCTCAAAGCTGAATAAATAAGCTTTCCATTGATGTATGGTTTGTTAGGATAGGAAAATATTTGAAATATATTTTAATATTTGAAAATCTGGAATCTGAGGGTGCAAAAAAATCTAAATACTGAGAAAATCGCCTTTAAAGTGGTCCAAATGAAGTTCTTAGCAATGCATATTACTAATCAACAATTAAGTTTTGATATATTTACGGTAGGAAATTTACAAAATATCTTTATGTAACATGATCTTTACTTAACGTCCTAATGATTTTTGGCATAAAAGAAAAATCAATAATTTTGACCCATACAGTGTATTTTTGGCTACTGCTACAAATATACCCGTGCTACTTAAGACTGGTTTTGTGGTCCAGGGACACATATAGTATATTTATGATAAATGTCTGCTGTTAGATATGGTCCTTTTGATAACAGTGGGCTGAATGTATAAAGACTAATTGTATTCATCGCTCCCCACAGACTGTAAAGAGGCCTCGCAAGGTGGCTGTCCTCAAGCGCCCACCGTCCCCGAGCGGGGATAGCCGCGATTACAACATATCCAGCTATTATCCCGAGGACAACCGCAGCGTTCACAGTGACCCAGAATCTGATTACCCTCGGGGAAATGGCGGCCTGGGCTACCCCCGCGACAGAGAGCATGACCGCAGTCTCGAAAAGAGCCGGATAGACTACCTGGAGCCGGATTACCGCAGCCAGGACAACGACTCCCGGCGGGAAAGGAGCAGAGGCAGGAGCGCGGAGAGGTCGCCCAGCTCTGACAGCGGCTACCGCAGGGACGGCAGCCGGGGCCGGACGCTGGAGCACGGATCCAGCCCGGAGCCTCGCTATCACAGGCAGCACAGTAGAGGCCGCGGAGGAGGAGGAAGCCCTGCCGGAAGCTACGGGAGGGACCAGGGCTACGACACGCGGAGGTATGACACTCGTTCGGATGACAGGATGATCAGGAGTCACAGCAGGGACCGGCTGCAGGATCGCTCACCGTCACCCAGCAAAGAGAAAGACAGAGGAAGAGAGCGGTACAACTATGAGCCCCTGGAGCCGCCCATCAATGTCATGCTGGTGAAAAACAGGCCCAATGAAGGTGAGAGTTGCAGGATTACCTTGTCACTAATAGCATATTTGAAATATATATTAGTGATTGAAAAATGATTAAGACAGTTTAGAAGTAAATATCTCACTCCCAATAGCAAGTTTATAATTTATGGGCGTTATTACAGGAAAGACTTGAAGTTGGATCAATGTTTATGACAAACATTGGCATAAATTTGCTGCAAGTTCATATTTTCTCATGCAAATGAGCTTTGTGACAATTGCTTGTGGAAAATTTCTCAGCAAGCAGTTGAATGTTTTTTTTTTTTAGATATAAAATTTAAGGATGTGTGATTAATCTAATTAAAAGTGCAAAATGACAGCATTACACTATAAAAACATTAATGAATACACAACCATTCCAAAGTTTAGGGTTCGTAATTTAAAAAATAGAAATTAATACTTTTACAGTATTCAGCGAGGATGCGTTAAATTGATCAAAAGTGACATTTATAATGTTACAAAGATGTTTATTTCAAATAAATATTGAACTTTTACACTTTGTGTTCATCACAGAATCCTAAAAAAATGATCACTGTTTCCACAAAAATTTTAAGCAGCACTACTGTTTTCAACTTGGATAATAAAAAATGTTTCTTGATCAGCATATTGGAATGATTTCTGAAGGATCATGTGACATTGAAGTAATGGCTGCGGACATCAGCTTTGACGTCACAGGAATAAATTACCTTTTGAAATATATTGAAATAGAAAAAAGTTATTTTAAATTGTAATAACATTTCAAAATATTCCACTTTTTTAAAAATCAAATTAATGCAGCTTCTTTAATAAAAATAAATAAATTCTTACATATTCTTTTGTATATAGTCTTCAGTAAAGGTCTGCTGCTCTTTAAGGTCCTGTACAGTTTGTGATAGCCCGTCCTTCAGTAACAGCCTCTTTCTGAAGCTGCATTATATTCTGACTGGGTTACAAAACAGTCCATGCTAAAATGTGCTGCACACCCGTTAAGATCAAACTGAATGAGCAGGGACCTAAAAATAATCTTAAACCATTCGTTTCAAACGTTGCCATCTCTTAGAAGAATATGCAAAGCATAGCTAGGAACTTTTGTTGGACATTACAGCATACTCCCATACTATGTACATCTATCATTTTTATCTCAAAAGTGTAATTATGACTTGATTTGACCCCTTTACAGAAGCAGAGCTTTTATTCCTGCAGTAGAGTTCAGATCAGATGCTGTGGAAATAATACACTACGTAAAAAGACCATCTGATCTTTTTCCCCATTTCTTTTTTCACTCTCTCTCATGTCCTTTCACGCTGTTTTCTTTGGAGCTCCACACATCCATCCTAAGACAGTTTGTCCTCCTTGGATTTTGATGATATTTATATCTGATTTATTTATGATGGCCTTGTCAGATTTCAATAGACATATATTCCTGTGACTTCTCATGAAGCGGCCCGTCTCTTCCGATTTCCTCACCAGCCCTTCATAACCCACAGCCCAGAAAGCCAAAGCGGGTAGCGCTGTTTATTACCATAATTTTCTTGCCTGGAGTTGTGAAATGAGAACCAGCTGTTTTTTTAGAGCTGGCTTTAGTTTTTAGAACAATATTGGAACTGAAAGCGTTTCATCATGTTCAGTTCTGTAAGTGGTTCTTGTACGTTCAGCAGAGAGCGGTGATTCTGCCCATCAGATCAATACTCCACATTTTCAGTTTCCATTTATATTGTTTGTGGTGTTTGACCCATTCAGCCGGCCACTAAACTAACAGCTGGAGGGATGGCTGTGTACTTAAAAGGGTCAAGGTCATCATGGTTGTTAGGTTCATGTTAGGATCATGTTAGCGTTTCTGCGTAGAACCAATGTTTCATTCTGATTTGTTATAGAGTACGGCCTCCGGCTGGGCAGCCAGATCTTCATCAAAGAGATGACCAGCACTGGATTGGCTGCCAGAGATGGAAATCTCCAGGAGGGCGACATAATTCTTAAGGTACCTATCAGACCCTTCACACAATAGCTGTTAGTAATGTTCATGCATTAAATCTGTTAAATTGTCATAAAATCACTGTGTTCACTAATGGTCGACTGATGTGGCTGATGACAATATCTAGTGCACTTTTAAGACTCATTTTTGTTAAATGAAATACAGCTGAAATAAAAAACTATAAAATATTCGAAAAAATATAAAAGTCTAGAAAAAATACAAATGTAAATGTTATATATAAATAACAGAAATTATATATATATATATAAACGTTACATATTTATTAAATAAATATTAGATTAAAAGGCTTAAACTTAAATGAATATTAGAAATCTTGCCTTGACAACTAAAGTTAAAGTACTAGATGTTAGCGTTTCTGCGTAGAACCAATGTTTCATTCTGATTTGTTGTAGAGTACGGCCTCCGGCTGGGCAGCCAGATCTTCATCAAAGAGATGACCAGCACTGGATTGGCTGCCAGAGATGGAAATCTCCAGGAGGGCGACATAATTCTTAAGGTACCTATCAGACCCTTCACACAATAGCTGTTAGTAATGTTCATGCATTAAATCTGTTAAATTGTCATAAAATCACTGTGTTCACTAATGGTCGACTGATGTGGCTGATGACAATATCTAGTGCACTTTTAAGACTCATTTTTGTTAAATGAAATACAGCTGAAATAAAAAACTATAAAATATTCGAAAAAATATAAAAGTCTAGAAAAAATACAAATGTAAATGTTATATATAAATAACAGAAATTATATATATATATATAAACGTTACATATTTATTAAATAAATATTAGATTAAAAGGCTTAAACTTAAATGAATATTAGAAATCTTGCCTTGACAACTAAAGTTAAAGTACTAAATTAGTAAAACTAAAACTGAAATAGAAAAAAATTAACTGCTGAAAATTAAATTTAAAATCAAATTCAAAATATTAATACATTCTATAATGGCATATAATAAACAAAATAAAGCTGTATAGACTAGGGATGTTCATATTAACCGGTTAACCTACCGTAAGAATTTTGACCGATTAATACAATCAGTTAAACGGTTTAAAAGGTCATTTAATTATTTAGTTTTTCAGTAATTTATCAAAATATTATGTTTTTTTGGGGGGAAAAACATAAGTCGTGAATAAGTCGCATTTTATTATTTCATTCAGAAATAGGCCTAATGCCGACGCAAAATGTTTACAAACATTATAATAAACACTGTAAACATAGCTAGGCTATTTTAGTTCCCCTCCACAACAAATCCTTTCAATTAACAGTATTTAGAAAAGAACAAGAATTAAAAATATAAGAAGCTATAGCAATGTAAACGACAAGCCAAAACGAATTAATTTAGGCTAAAACGAAACTGAAACCAACGTATATACATATATATATAGCCTAGCTTTATTATGTTTTTCTCCGCTCGCAGAAGCTCTGCAGGTGCGTGTTGATATGATGACGTGAATCCTCATGTTCTGTTGTTTGCTGCTTTTTGCGCATGTAAAATTAATCCCCGGGAAACAAATGTTAGTATTTGGTTGTCGGTTAGGAAAAATAACCGAAATGAACATCCCTAGAATAGACCATGGTGGCTGATGGCCGATGTAATGCGGATATTATTTATTACTTATTACTTTTCCTATTACTTGTTTCTCTTCTGTTTCAGTTTTTTATAACCATTTCTTACTATGTGTAAGTTGTTGTTTTTTAGCATGTGTGTTTGAGAGTGTTATTTTTTAGGATTACTGATAAACTACTGTCATTTGATTTGTATTATTTGTATTTGTTATTTATTTAAATTTTAGTTACATTATGTCTGAATTTATTATATATTTATACTGAATTTACTTATGTATGTATAGGTCTTTTATTACGTTTTTAGTTTTATTTAATTTGAGTTATTTTAATACTTCAACAAACTAAATGGAAATGAAATAATATATATATTGCATTTATAAATGTGTATGTACATATACAGTGTGTGTGTGTGGTTGTATATACACATATGTAGTTGTTTTAATACTACAATTGATTGCTTCTGATGTCCTCATTTGTAAGACGCTTTAATAAATGACTAAATAAATAAAAATAAAATAAATAATATATTCATGATTTCACATAGTTTAAAGATAGTTAATGACATAAACAATTTATGTAATACAGTAAATTTACATTATTTTGCAATACATGTTTTACTTAATAAACTATGTAAATAGGTAATATAAAATAAAATGAAAGTAATAAAATATATGAATTTTGTTTTTTTTTACCGTTTTATGGTTTCAGTTTTAGTTAACTATAATAACCCTGATTTTTTTATTTTAAATTTATTTATTTAATTTATTCCAGTAGTTTTAAAAAGTACATGGACATATTTAGATCTAAATATTATATTCTAATATAGTCTACTAATTTAAATTAATATTATTTGCAAATACAGTATCGGGGAAGTAATCAATAATTACAATTTGTTTTGTTCTAATCACAGAAAATAACGATTTATCAGTATTTAATATATGTATATATCCATCAACCGTTCACACAACTCCACTCAAACTCCTTAGCATCAGACTTAAACCAGTAATGATATGTCTCTGTCTCTGTTTTTTTCTAGATCAACGGGACGGTGACTGAGAACCTCTCTCTGAGTGACGCCGGCAAGCTGATTGAGAAATCACGGGGCAAGCTGCAACTGGTGGTCCAGAGAGACCACCGACAGATCCTGGTGCGCATTCCTGCCCTGGCAGACAGCGACTCTGAGCCTGACGGTAAGCTCCTCCTATCACACTGCATTTGTTCATAGACCGCTTCCTGAGCCGTGCTGCTCACCCTCTGGCTGTTTGCTCTCCAACGCCACACTTTAATTAAAAGCAGGTAGCGTGAATTGGCTCGGATAAATCAGATTAGTAATATCAAGTACACATTCGCTAGGCACTGAGGCTGTAATAAATTACAGTTAATTATGTAAATCACTATTAATAGACTCGATATGAGTATTGAAGCACAAAACCCAATTTGTCACTGTCTGTATCAGAACAGGGTTATCATCCAGTGGCATAATTTCAACTATATGCCATGGATTTAATGAGTCTGGTCCTCTATAGAGGTGATGCAGTGTTAATGCAGTTGGACACGGGTAATAAAACTTCCTCTGGCTGTGTAGTTACAGTATAGATTGATAGTATATTTAACAGGAACACGTAGTCATTTAGAAATTACAAGACTGTATTGTCAGACACAGACTGTGGCTTTTTAGCAAAGAGCTGAGATTTACAGCCCCCATTTATATCTGCTATTAACATCCGTCTCGGGTGATCTGCCCACTAGTGGACCACATCAGAGACGGTATAGTGGGACAAACCATTTATAGAAAAACCAATGGGAGGAATCGCAACACTCAATATAGCAGCTGTGTTAAAAAAAGTCTTACTTTTCAGTTAAAAGATCCAGTTACATTTTTGATAGTGGCACATATTTTTGCATACAATGCATACAATATTTTTTTGAAACTTCAATTGATAGATGCAGCTTTTAAAGAAAATGTCAGTCAGATCAAAAAGCAGAAGCCATAATATATTACAATTCACATCATCTAATTTGATTCAAATAGTATAAATTCAAATACAGTAAAAATTTATGTTTATTTTGTTATTTTTTAAATAATATTTTTTATTATATTGTTATATTATATTAAAATATGTATTATTATTATTATATAATATATATGATTTTTTTAAAAATATTTTTAAACAATGCAAATTATGAAAATATTATCATAATCATAAGAAAATATTTTATGAAAATAAATAAATAAATAAAAGTAAATTGATTTAAATAAATAAAAAATCAATTTTAATTTTAATTGTAGTTAAATCATTGTATTTATTTTTTTTCATTTTTTTCACGTTTTATGTATGTTTATATAGTTTTGTTGCTTTTTACTTCAGTTTTAGTTATTTTGGCTCATGTAGCTGGAATACATTTATTTATTTGTTTATTTTTTATTTCAGTTCACATTTTTTATTTCAAGCAATAAATGCTTTTTATGGTTTTAGTTTCAGTTTTAGCTAACTATAATATACTCGGTTTTTTTATTCATGTATTTAATTTATTCTAATTGTTTTGAAAGATACATGGACATATATGGATGTTAATAGCAGGGTTCTTAACCCTATCAGATATCACCATTGTTTACACTTGAACACAAAGAATATTTTAACACCAGAAAGATGCGCTTAAATGAGAAAAAGCAAACCGCATGCTTACAACAGAAATGCTATTTTGTGTTCTCTTTTTACAGATAATACAGATATGTCATACTTTTAGCTGATGGACTGCAGAGACGCAACATAAAGTCTGGTTGCCTTTAATCTTTAATCATGACTGTTCCTCAACAAACCTGTAAAACTTTCACACTGTGCTCTTATATTTTGATGCTAACCTTCTTTTTTAATACCTTCTTTAATCAATAAATAAGTCTACTCAATGTTATGTCTGTGTGGTGGTGACTTATTTAATCTTGGCGGAGAAACTCTGTCTGGAAGGGTGTCACAGTCTCTCAGATGCTATTTCATACTCTTCAGCTGTTGTTAGGGTGGGACAGCTGGATATCGTATGGCTTTTTCAGATCTACCATCCTCGAGGCGTTAAATGCGGGTGGAAAGAAGTACATTTCAGTACAGAAAAAGCATCCGCTTGTCGAGTGGGGCTGGGCGGTACAGCTTCATGCATTAAAACTTTATGTATGTATTCAACGGTGTTGGAAAATGAGTCACCGTAGGCATTGTGTGCGGTTGGATGTGATTTACACATCTGCCATAAAATTGCAGCTCGTACGTGCCATTCTGCTCTACTTTTCATTTTGACTAGATGATGTGATAGCCGGCTTTCAGCTATTTCGTCATTTTTATTGTTCATTGTATTCAAGAAGCCGTGACTTTGCTAGCGTAACATGCTTGGATAGGTTGAACCGTGATGCTCAAGGCTTACTGTTGGAAATCAACGCTGTCCCTTGTGTCTTTATCCTCATTTATTTGGCATTCATTCCAGTATGTTCATGTCTTTCATAGTTCTATGGAAATTCGGGTGATTGCGTCTAAAGACATCATGCATTCACAACACATTTAACTTCCGTAATGCAACATATGTGTAAAACAGTATATTCAAAGAGAAATGTAGGGTGGGTGTGTGGTGTTGAATTTGATTCGATTGCTATGAAGTATGCTATGCTACTTAAGTAATAAAAATGTGGTTTCTTTTAAGGAAATAAATGCTGATTTGATGTTGTCTTTTAAACACACTGTATGTGGCATATTTATTCTTAGTCACTACTTAATCGGAGCGAAATAAGGAATATTCACAATATATGTCAATATTATTATACCAGAACATTTTTTAATAATGCTTTTAATGTGTTTTTGACTAATTTTTCTTAAGTCTCATTTGTTGGTGTGATGAAAAAAATTATTTAGATTTTCCTTTATATTTTATATTAAATATAATTACTAAGTAATTAGTATTATTATTATGGTATCTTAGTATTTATGTATTTGTTGAATTTAATGTTATATTTATGTAATGTTAAACTATGTAATAGTTTTATTGTGTGTGTGTGTGTGTGTGTGTGTGTGTGTGTTCATTTTTTACAATAATTTTTTTCATGAAACTTCCCTTCTTTCAAATTATTTTTTATTTATGTATTCTTTTTTTTATGTAATTTCTCTGGGGGGAAAGGTGAAATTTAAAGCAAATACACACATATTGAGATGTCGGATGATCTTTTGTGTGTGTGTGTGTGTGTGTGTGAGTGTGTGTCATACTCTCTGTCATTCTCTTCATTATGTTGCTTGTGTGTGTGTTGTCCCAGTAGCTCTGTGAATCTAAATCAGTGATGGTGGTTGTAGCTGAAGCAGAGGTGCTGGCCATGCTGTTTTGGGTTGTATTCAGGGAATGCACACACAGCTGTCTCTTCTCTGTGGTTTGTCCTCCCCCTCTTAAGAGATGGACTGTAATTTCATCCCCACCCAACAGATGGAAACACACCTCTCTCCCCCACAGCCTGGAAAACACCAGCTCCCTGCTCCTCCCTGATACTCCTCAGACACTACATTTACATGCAGCCTAATAATCCATAAATAATCTGACTGATAGCCTAAGCAAAATGAAAAGCCTTTTAGTAAACAGTTAGAGAAAAATATAAAATTCCTTCATCTGAATAAATTATTAATGATTTTCTTCTGATTTTCCTTTTAAATGAATTTAGCAACATGAGAAAAAAGCTTTCTTGGGGTCATTTTAGAAAAGCAAACATTCCAGTTACGCACTGAAGTGATGCTGAATCTTCTTTACAGGACTTACAAGCTTCTTGCTATTATGATATCATAACACTTAATGCCGCTCTTGCACGACATGCTCAGACATTTAGTTCAGAATAGATTTGTGACCCTGGACCACAAAACCAGTCTTAAGTAGCACGGATATATTTCTAGCAACAGCCAAAAACACATTGTATGGGTCAAAATTATTGATTTTTCTTTTATGCCAAAAATCATTAGGATATTAAGTAAAGATCATGTTCCATGAAGATATTTTGTAAATTTCCTACCGTAAATATATCAAAACTTAATTTTTGATGAGTAATGAGCATTGCCAAGAACTTCATTTGGACAACTTTAAAGGTGATTTTCTCAATATTTAGATTTTTTTGCACCCTCAGATTCCAGATTTTCAAATAGTTGTATCTCGTCCAAATATTGTCCTATCCTAACAAACCATACATCAATGGAAAACTATTTATTTATTCAGCTTTCAGATGATGTATAAATCTCAATTTCAAAAAAATTGACCCTTATGACTGGTTTTGTGCTCCAGGGTC